CATTCCCTTAGAGCCCAGAGAAAGAGAGAGTCAATGAGAGGCAGCTATGGAATGTGTGGCCATTCCTCTCCACCAACCACGAACAACTGCCTGCTCTGAGCCCCGAAGAACTACATGGTGCCTGGCTACCTGCACTGAACATTTTGGCCAAAGAATTGATGAAAGAATCCTGACCCAAAGGGGAACGCAGAAAAGAATTTCAAATTCTCATGGGCTCTAGACTTTCTGGAGCCAAGGAGGGTGTTGGCATCCCAGAAATGATTACCCTGAAGTCATCTTTCTATCTTAAATCAAAAATATCCCCTGGAGTCGTCTCAAAAGCAAACAAGAGTTTAGTTTGATGATGGTAGGGTCTCCCTTGAGCATTCTGCTCTTTTAGGAAGTCTCTCTATGAGATCAAACAGACAATAACAGCTCAAGAGATTACATAGGACCCTTAGGGGGGGCTGTGAGTTTATGTTCATGAGGGAGAGTCCATTGAGAAAAAGGAGCGTGAGTGTGGTACAGCCAATACATTCAAGAATGTATTCTGGGTCACTGAATTGCACTTGCATAGATTGTTGAATTGGTGTGTGTTTTGCCCTGTGTATTGTCCACCACAAAGTGAATACAAACTAGAAAACAAAACTGGCTCACCCTGTCTTCTGCTAATCTAGAGTTCTTTTCAGAGCAGGGACCATGCCTTTTTCAATCTTTCTTCATTCATAGTACAAGCCTGGTCCCTCATATAGGCTTTAAGGATATGAAGGAGCAAGCCACAAACTGCCTATCATGCTGTGACGCGAATAGAATCATACAGGGCACAGGGACAAATAGGGCTCTGCCTGCGCCTTCCAGGAGCTTCAGAGAATGAGAAAGTAGTTGTGACTACAACAGTCACACTAGGATTGTATTTTACATTTGGGTACAGAGCGCCCTAGGGTTCAAAGCACCGCGTGTCTGAGTCTTCCTAGAACCTAGCTCATTCACACTCACAATGAGTCCCCTTGAAGACCAACACCAAGTTTTGTCCTAAAAAG